TATATGTTCAAATGTAATTTATTTCTGTGATGCAGCGCTGAATTTCCAGCATCATTACTCAAGTCTTCAGTGTCACATGATCTTCAGAAATCATTCTAATATGCTGATTACCTGCTCAAGAAACATTTCTGATTATTATCAATGTTGAAAACAGTTGTGCTGCCCAATATTTTTGTGGAAACGGTGATTCATTTTATTTTTCAGGATTCACAGATGAATAGAAAGCTCAACGGAACAGCATTTATTTGAAATAGAATCTTTTGTAACATTATAAATGTCTTTACTGCCACTTTTGATCAATTGAATGCGTCCTTGTTGACTAAAAGTATCAATTTCTTAAAAGAAAGCTGTAGCTTGAATAAGCTTTGAATGAAGTGGCTAGCAAATGCACAAATGTAAATCCCTCACCTGATAATCCTGGCGAGGTGGATCTTGTCTTTTGCTGGATACGGTCCATGAGACAGAAAGGCATTTCTCAATGCACGTCCAGCGCAGGGAAAACTCTGAGAACACGTCTGTCAGACAGAAAGATCATCTCAGGATGGAATTAAAAGTTGACGTCGTGTAATATGAATGCTTGACGCTATAAAATAACCATAAATATAAAGAGATGCACAAATAAAATCTCTTTAACACCTCGACTCTTTCTCCTAGAGAGCCAAGAAAGAGGCAAATGAATGCTTTCCTGACTTTTCAGATGTTTTTGACCCCAATAAACTTACATTTGTCTCCTCTAGAGATGCAGAAGAGATCGAAATGATGTCTCAGCTCAAAAATGTCTCAATTTTATATCTCTATACTTGTACTGCACATTCTTTTGTGTCTTTTTTGTGTCCCTTCTTTGTCATTTTATATGTCCTAAGAAATGTAAGGAGAAATATTTTGAAACAAATGAATCATAATTGAAAACTTAAGCCTGTTGAGCAATGAAAGAACAAAGTTTTAGTGATATATTTTTATATTAAAGTACAGAAGTGCAATAGACAAATTTGACCTACATATGCACAGTGACATTACTTGCCGTGTGTGTATATGTGTATTTCTGCTGTCAACCACAGATTGCATATCTATTCACTGATATCATCGCGTTTCCTCCTGAAGCTCTCCTTCTCATTTTAATCAATGGCACACTGGCCTCTCTGATCCACTCAAAGCCTCTTCAGCATTATTGAGCAGCTTTAATAAGTGCGTTAGAATCCATAGCAACACCTTCAGCAAGCAAGCGCCCTGTATGAGGTCAGAGGTCATGACCCCCCCCCCCATTCTTTTTCATTTATTTTATATTTTAATCTTTATAAACTTTATTTTTATTAATGTGTTTCAATGGGTGTAGTTTTATTTGAAACGTTGCACTAGTGTCTCTATTGTTTGTTTCTTGCTTGTAAAGCACTTTGAACTGCACTGATGTTTGGAAAACTGATTTCACGATACGATTTTCTGACGATCTTTTTTTTTTATCAAAATTAGATTCATTCAAAAATTATAAATCAAAAGGTGTCCTTTTATTATTGCTTGGACAAAATGCTGCACATTTCTTTGTGAAATTGAAATATGTCAAATAGCAAAACTAAATTTAATTTTTAAAACAAATCAAATAAATAAATAACACAAATTAAAGAAATCTCTTCATTCAAACTAAGGCTTTGTCTGTGCTCTTTCCATTTAAAATTAGAGGAAACCACTGTATTTTAATCACAATCCAAACAAAGATGTTGCATACATGCAGCATGAGCAGTTTTTAATCTAAATTAAACTGTATAATTTCGAAATTTGAAGCAAAAACTGAATGGTCTGACTTTAGCTTTGTGAAACTATACTACATAAAACATCTGAAAGAAAACAAAAACAGCAGAAGCTCTGAATGAAAACGCAATTTCACTCTCTGACAGCAGGCGGCGCTTATGGAGCAGCAGCAATACAGCGTTTCCTTGGTTACCGCTGTAAACACAGCGGCATGGGGCTTATGAACGCTACTTTAATATGCATTATACCAAAGACTATAGAATACCCAAAACGTGTCACTCGTATAGTTTTGAATGGGGAAAAATGCAACGCTCAATATGGCCGCTCAATCGCAGGAAGCCCCACCTTCTGAATGAAAGAGCCAATCGCTAATCGGTAAAGTCAGCGAGTC